CATTACCAAATGATGTCGTGTATCTTTAACTTTCTCTATTAACCTTTTCGCTCACAGAAATTCATCGTCTTATAACAAAGTGTACTTAAATCGAGGATTTAAAGTTTTAAAATAATATAATATCGGACTACTAGTAATAAAATCGATGATGGAGAATTTCATAACCTAAAAGAATACAAATTATAAAATTCATTAAAACGCATTTTTTTTTTTTTTTGTAGAAATATAAACTTTTCAAAGACACCAATGAAAGAATAGAAAACATCTTGAACGTTGAATGAACGCAAATCCATTACCACCTTTTCTCGTCGTGTATCTCTGACTTTCTCTATTAACCTTTTCGCTCATAGAAATCCTCTTATAACACGATGTATTTAAATCGAAGATTTAGAGTTTTATGTATTGGAATATTAATATAATAGTTTGTCTATAAACAATACACAGAGGTATTTCATTTATGAAACGAGATATTGAAAATTGGAACGCGTTATTGTAGATATGCGTGTGCGTGTAGAAAGCGATTAGCGAGTTAAATATAGAGAAAGAATTAAATTATGTGTGCGCGCGCATCAACGGTTCGTGTCTCGACTATTCGAGAAGGAAGGAGGTCGATTTTCGTCGCGATGATTCCCCATGAAATTGCAGGAAAGAGGGCGCGACACAACACTAGAAAATGTACACAGATGTAATTGTGGCCGTTACTGGAGAATTATTATGAAACGAGGCATTGAATTTGTTTGCTTTTTTTTTTTGTTGCGTGATAAATCTTGTTACGAGATAAACGATATAAATAAGCGTAATTTCCGTACCGAATGAAACAATTGTTGATTATTATCGTTCGATAATAAGTTCGAGATAAGAGGATATATGAGCGTATAATTAATTGGGTTATTAATGTAGCAATTATTCTCGAATTTTTCATCGTTCAAGGACAAAGTGACCGATGAATAATTCTATCGGCGGTTCATGCAAATCGAGTGTGTCAAACATTAAAATACGGCTCGTTAGGATTCTCTTCCTCGACAATGTTTCGCGGGAAAGTTTGCGATTAGTTCCTAAGAAAATATTTCGTGGGAAACCGGGGGCTCTGTGTTGTCTGGCAAACCTGCATAAATTTAAACCTGGTTAAAATGGAGGAATTGAATAAACGCTTTCTAAAAATATCAAACTACTCGTAAATATTAAAAAATTACAATCACAAAATTATACGAAAATGAATGATTAAACGTTATGAAAATTACATTATGCTTAAAATTACTAAATATTTATGAACGAAAAAACACGGTTTATTAATCAACGCATCTTTTACCGGTTATTTCGCCTCGAAAGAGTGAAAAGGTTGAGATCAGGTGTACGAGATGTCGTGCCTGTTCGCGGAGTGGTCTCGTTCTACTTGATGCAAGCAATTAAAATAATAGCCTTTTGATCTGGCGCTGTAATTCGTTACTTCCGCTGATGTAATCGAACCGGATTCCGGCTATTCCACGTTCCACGACGTTAGAATTCTTCCTAAGATAGATGCCTCGTTTAATTTTGAAAAATAATTCTATATAAATAATTGTGCATCTTTGAATGAATTTTAAAGAATTTTTTCGATCCTGAAAAATAATTATGTATAAATATGCATCTTTGAACGAATTTTAAAGGTGAAGCGCTTCTTCGTGTTCCTGCTCGTATTCAATTTCTATTTTGAATAATTCTAAAAAATTAATAATGTATTTTTCTACATCGTACATTTTTGATGGGATTTAAAGAAAATATTTAATTCAAGAATTTAATTCGAATGATAGACCGATCAAAAGATAATCTCATCGATTAAGGAGCATTAATATGATTAAAAAGTGACAATATTTTTCTACATTTTTGATGGGATTTAAAGAAAATATTTAATTCGAAAATTTAATTCGAATGATAGACCAATCAAAAGATAATCTCAAGTAGTATTAATATGATTAAAAAGTGACGAAAAAATATAATTTCTTGCTTAATCGCGCTTTAAGATAGGTCGCGTGTCAAGCTGCATTTTTCATGCACATTTCAGACACGGGTTCCTTTTAAAAAAAAAAAAAAAAAG